GGAGCCTCGGGCCGCCCCGTCGTGATTGGACGGCGGCGGACCGTCCAATCACGACGGGGCGGCCCGAGGCTCCGCCCACCGGCTCCGTAGTTTGCGGCCCGGCGGACACCTTACACCGGAGCCCGCAACTTCACACAAGGTCACCGCTGCCGCCCTCTGCGCTCTGCCGCCCCGAGGCCTGGCCTCGGTGGCCTTGTGGGAAATCCGGGCCTGTCTCCTCCCCAGCTTCCCCCGACACCAAAGAAGCCGGTCCCATAGGAGGGGCAACATTCACCGGCCCATAGAAGCGATCTGGCGGCAGTGCTGAGCAGCCAGAAATCACTTCCACTGTAAAGCCAACAAATCGGCTTTACAAGTTTAAACGGAGTCTCGGTGGCAAAAGTGGCCGGGAGACTGTTTAAACAGCCCAGATGCCAGTGACGTACACTGTACGTTGCTGGTCATTAAATGGTGTAAAAACTGAAATCCTAATACAATTGTAGAAGAAACTGGCTTAAAATAAGTTAAAATAGTTAGGTTACCCACTTTACATTAAATATATTTAGTCACTTGGCAAATGTCTAAAAAAATGTAAATCTGCCACACAAGGTTCGCTAAACAAAGTCTACACTAAACATTAAAAGCCCTGAAGGGCTGAACAAAAGATGAAAATGGCTAGGTTGACCACATTTGTACAATATCTGCTATAGGTATGAGCGACGCCTGGGTTTGAATCCTTCTTGGAATCTGTTAAACACAAACTTGGCAGCAAACCCTATTGAAGTCTATGGGAGGCAAATCTTTATACCAAATGTTGGCCATTTTCTAGGCTAATAGGCAAGCTATTTAAAAAAAAAAAAACACAATTTAAAAAAGCAAGAGTTGCCAGTTTTACCTGTCAGAGCAACCTAGGTAACCATTCCTAGACTCCTGTCTCCTTTCTCTGTGGCTCAGGCTGGAATTAATTGAATGTGGACGAACATCAACAGGTAGGCTACAGATGCTGTTTGGAGATCTTGGATATGGATACCCAGGAGACGCCATGATGTTTACATGAAACTGGAACACAAAATGTTAATGGTTACACATATGCAGGTCTGGGGCTTTTTCAATACTGAATATTTTGCATGGTTGAAAAAAACTTATGATACATTAATCCCAAGAACTGCAACAGTCATGCTGAAATGCCAGATAGTAAGGAACTTCTAGTCTAGCTTAAAAGGATAGCAATGCTTGAAGAGGAACTGAACTCTAAGAGCTGTGCCAATAAAAAGGCAAGCATAGGGCAAAAGACTAGTCACCAGCATTGCCTGGTGTCTCCCTGCAGCAGATAACAGATCTCTCTCTCTCTCCCCCCATCCCTCCCATTACTACCTTAACATGACTTGTTATCTTGGTACAGGCAGGGCTTTGCTTCATGTCAGAGCCTTCTGCAAGGAGAAAACTGAGGAGCACAGTGGTGACAGTGTCAAATCTCCAGAGACTAGCAGTCATAGGCACGGGATTGCCTCCCCCCCCCCCCCCCCCTCACAAAAAATAACCCCAAAAGAAGAAAAAAAACAAAAACCCACCCAAAAACTAGTAAACCTTGAGGGTACGTTCACACCATATGCAGTGTGTTCCAGCCCTATTTCGTGTGGCCGGAGGGGCGTGACGTGCCCACACGGGATCGCAAGGCACATTGTACCTGCAGTCCGGTCTGATCAAAATTGTGCTTGCAACATTTTGATTGCACTGGACCGCAGGCCTTGTGATCCCGTGCGGGGTTCGCATTGCGGCCGGAGGGCGAGGCTACGGTGCCATTCACTTCAATGGCCCGCTACGCCCCCTCCGGTGCATAGCGGTGCCTTGTGAAGCCCTGATTGGGTAAAATCTTGCTTTACCCAATCACAGCACAGTGCCCTGTGAGTGCCATGATTGGGCAAAGTAATGGCGACTTTGCCCAATCATGGCTCACACAGCTAAGTCCTGCCAGGTGCCGGACAAATGTAAACAGTTGGGCGGGTTTCTCCTTAAAATTCCTACAACACCTTAAGGGCCTGGTATGACTTTAAAGGGGAACCCTTCCCCACACACATTTAATGGGGTCCCTCCTAACATTCCTACCAGACCTAAAAGGGTCTGATATTGTTTGGGAGGGGGAACCACACACTTAAAAAAAAAGGGGTCAGTTTTGCTGCAGCAGGTTCTATACATTGTACACATGCGCCACTTTATAGGCAGTTTAAGGGGACCCCCCAGGCACGATATTTAAAGGAATTTTTCATTTTTGTTTCACTTGAAGCAATTTTAAAAATCACTGCTCCTTTAAAAACAGTATTTTTTTCCCCCTTGATACATGTCCCCCAGGGCAGTACCCAAATCCCCATACCCTTTTAATGGCCATTGACTTGCATAAGCCTTCAAAGTGGGGACATTTGATTTTCAGAGTTCTGGTCCCATAGACTTGAGTTTGAAGTTCAAGTTCAAACTTTTTCCATGTTCTAAAGTTCAAACGCGAACCAAACTTGGGTGTGTTCAGCCCATCACTAGTTGTGGGGCTGCCCCTGTATAATTTGCAAACGCAGTGCCAAGAACATTTTGGGATTTCAACAGACAGGAGTGCGATGGAATACATACAATAGTACGGGATCACACACACACGCACAGATGAACCGTCCATATCTGATCATATGCAGCTCAACTGTCAGTACTGGAACACACACACACACACGTATTGGATCAAACAGCAGTACTGGATTACATTGCAGATCAACCATCAGTATTGCATAACAGAGCAAACTGTTTGCTCTGACTATGTGAGCATGCATCAATTAAATACATGCTTGTATTACAATTGGAGTGCCAGCGACTCTTCCTGTTGTTTATTGTTTGCAAACACAGTGCCAAGAACATTTGGGGATTTCAACAGACAGGAGTGTGATGGGATACATACAATAGTACGGGATCACACAGGCACAGATCAACTGTCAGTATTTGATCAAACACACACACCCCAACCATCAGAATTGGCTTACATGCAGATCAACCATACATATGCAAAAGGAGATATAAAAACACACTATAGAATATGCTGTAGACTAGATCAAGAAATCCAGTCAAACACCATACTTCTAATTTAAATAAAATACCGTAGACAGCCAGCAAAGAATTTACTATTTATAATGCATTAGCTTCCTTCAGGCTTTCCTGATTCCTACAGTCACAACCACCTGTTTTTGTCTTTGAAGTTGTTTTCCATCAGCTTTAGTTGTAAATAAAGACAGATTTACTGCAGACTATTAACTCACCAAAGAAATGAAATCATCCTACCATTTCTTCACCTCCCAACAAAAATAATTTCCTTACTGAAAGAACACAGCTTAAAGAATTTCCTTTGCCTGCTTTATCAATTTAGGTCATTTAAATAACAAATCCCCTGCACATGGATGGCTTTCAATTAATTTAAAGGTACACAGGACGTTTTCAGGTTCTGTTTATTTAGATGTGACAAGACCCTGTCAAGTTTGTATATGTGTACATGCAACGTTTTTGTGAACAATACACAGACCCATCAGTTTTAGATGAAACAAGAATAGAATGTTGATACATACCACTAAGTAAAAATTTCTTATATTTACGTGTGATTAACAAGCTTCATCTGCATCAAAGGAGATCTAACAGGTTGTCTGCTCCAGTGGAGATCGAAAAAGGTGAGCTGTGTAAAACTGCCTCATTGGTAGCAACACAAAATCCCACATTGTATAGAACAATGTGTAACTTTAGTTATATATATATATATATA